TAGATGGCTGAGATCTGTACCCCTGCATACATTTCCTGTTGGTTTTAATGTAGCATTTTAGAGAAGAATATATGGTTCCTCAGGAAGCCCATACAGGTAAGCCCGGGGCTACAAATGTCCAAGTTATGAACAAGCTGTGCTTACAAACCAGCTGTTATAAAGCCTATTAATTTTTACTGTGGAAAATCATCATCATCATCGAGAGGAAGCAAAAAAGGAGAGAGGGAAGGCCTCCAAAGCATCACCATAGAGAGGGAGGAAGTGAAAGAGAGGGAAGATCTCCAAAGTATCACCATAAAGAGACAGAAGGAAGGAAGAGAGGGAGGCCTCCAAAGCAGGCCTTCTTGTCCCACCCATTCAGAGAGGGAAATCCCTCCAGAATTTTCTTGCTGCAAAGAGGAGGCACTGGTGAATTTGGCCAGGAAGGTGGGGGGCTGTTTTCACAGTTTTTGCACCTGCACAGGGGTCCTAACCCCCACAAATGTGGAGGGCTGACTGTATGTGATCCGACTTACATAAACATTTGAGTTAAAAGACAAATTTCCATTTTCTCAGGATGGAAACTCGTTTGTAACCCAGGGACTGCCTAGTCCCAAAGCCATGTTTGCTGAGTTAACATAATTACAGGAGCAGAAAGTCTTGGCCAGAGAGGACACAGGCAGTTAATCTCTTCCAAGCCCTTCAGTTGGGGCAGAAATTTAGGCCCCACTCAGCAAAATGAGAAGGGGGCTTTGAAATACAGCAGGCCTTCCTTACCCCATTGTGATGTGATTAATATGCATTGCCATCACAGTCTACATGAAGTGTCTAAAATTGCCTAACTAACACCAGTCCTTTCCCACAAATCCCAATTTGGCCATCCCCACGACTCAGCTAGCCTTATTTCCAGTCCTGAAGCCAGGGTGAATATTAAAAGTCAATGGGCTCTGGCAGGGGACACACCACAGAAAAGAACAGGCAAACAGGAAAAGGTGACTTGCGCATCTCCTCATCCACAAAATTTTCTTTTTTGGGCCCAGCCATCCACTTTTGTTGTTGATGATACTTGTTGTCAAGTCATCTCCAACTTATAGCAGCTACTTTGACACCCAGTAATATTTAATTGCCTCAAACTTATTGAGAGCTTTGACTATTGGGTACTATGCTTACGTTACCTGCCTTCAAGTCATCCCCAATTCCTGGTGACCCTATGAATCAATATCCTCCGAAATGTCCTGACTGCTCAGTTCTTATAAAGTCCATATAATGTCTCCCTCTATGGAAGCATTCCATCTCATAGTTGATATTCCTCTTCTTCTGCCTTCAACTTTCCCTAGCATGATTGCCTTCTCATGATGTGTCCAAATTGTGACAGCCTCAGTTTTGCCAGTTTTGCTTCAGGGAAAGTTCTTCTTGTTTGTCTTTCTGTTGGGCTGGATTATTTGCAAAGATCTCCAGCACCACGTTTTGAATGCATCAATTTTTGTTCCTTTCAGCTCTCTTCACTGACCAGGCATCACATTCCTATATTGTGATTGGGCATACAATAGTGTCGATAACCTTGGCCTTGGTTTCCAAGTGAAACTACCTTAAACTTGATTATCTTTCCTAGATCTTCTTGGCTGCAGTCTCTCACAATTTAAATAGCTTCATTGTTAACATTAAAGTTGGGCAATTCTTCTGTAGTCATGATTTTTCTTCTCTTATTGTTCAGCTGCAGCCCTGCTTTTGTATTTTCTTCTTTCACTTTCATCAGTTGTTTCAATTCACTGCTGCTTTCTGCTAGTAATATGGTATCATCTGCATACGTAGCTTAAATGATTCATATATCTTCTGACCATTTTCCCTCCTTCCTCTGATCCTAATCCAGCTTTCTGTGTACAGACAGGGAGATAAAATACACCCTTTGTCTGATGCCTTTGCCTGTGGGAAGCCACTGTTTCTCCATATTCTGTCCAAACAGTAGCTTTTTAAGCACAATATAAACCTATACATCAGGATAATCAAGTGCTGTGGCACACCCATTTCTTTTAGAAGCATCCATAGCTTCTCATGAACACACAAAGACCTTGCTATAGCCTATAAAGCATGGACCGATCTTACTTTGGCGTGCTCCAGTAGGCAATCTGTATTTGTGTATGATTTCTAGTTGTGCTTCCTTCGCAGAATCTAGCTTGAATGCCAGGCATTTCTCTCCCCATACAGGGTAAAATTATTTGTTATACCTTGAACATCACTTTCTTTGCATGAGAAATTGGTGCAGTGGTCCTATAGTTGCTGCATCCCTTTGCCTTTCCTTTCTTGGCAATTGGAACATATGTTGAACATTTTCAGACTGTGGGCTGTTGTTTTATTTCCATATTTGTTGGCATATTCCTGTTAAGATTTGGACTGGTTCAGTCTCTACCATTCTGCATGGAATGTGTCTATTGGTGTCCAGACGCTTTATTCCCTGCAAGAGCTTTCACAACCGCTTTCACTTCACTTTCCAATATTGCAGTTTCTTCTTCGTAGGATTCTTGAAAGCAGTCTGTCATCCTTTCATCTCTTCCACACAGTATTTCTGCATTTTGTTTCCACCTTCTCCTTTTTTTCCCCTCCAGTTCAGATAGTATATTCCCATGTTGGTCTTTCAGCATTCCTAATCTGTTTGAAATTCCCTTTGATTTCTTGGATCTCCAGAAAGAGATCTCTTGCTCTTCCTCTTTTGTTGTTCTCTTTTATTTCTTTGCATTGGCCATTTGAATATTTCTTTTTGTCTGTACATGATAACCACAGAAAAGTTGCGTGCAGGATCCTGATCTCATTTCAGTTACCTTTTCCTTTACTCCTCACATGTCCTTGGCAATTGTGAGTGCTTCTTCTGTCTTCCATCTAGCCTTTCCCCTGCTTTTTTGCTACAGGAATGGTCTTTTGGCATTCTTGCCTAATATCTCTGGTTTTAGTCCAAAGTTCTTCTGGTTCACAGTCAACTGAGTTCAGTAATGCAAATCTGTTCTTTATGTGGACTTTAATTTCCTCAGGAATGTTCCACTTACCTGCCAGAAATCCTGTGTATTCTGTATAACAGTATCAATCCAAGTTTTGGAGGGCCTTGTGCAAGATAACCTTAGTGGACTTCCTCCCACAGTGAGCCTGCCTTCCAACCACATTGCTTGCTTAACTGACAAGCAGAATGCCACTGAACAAGTTGGCAGTCACGGCGCTCCTTCTCACCATCCCTGTTGTCTATGCCAGAACACAAGGCATGTGAACAAGCAGGTTCCAAAGGTGAGGAGAAGGGGGGGGGGGGGGGGGCTTGTCAGTGGATCCATCCTGGGATGTGTACCCTTGGCAGGTGCTCAACCAAGCCTGCCTTTCATGTCCACCCACCTTGTAGCTTGCAATTCTGCCTCAGAAGTGCACCATACGTTTATAAAACTACTGGGATTCTGAGCAGCACATTATTTCTAACCACTGATGGCAAATACTGCATTTTCACTGAGATGGTAAATTAGCACCTGGGCTATATCATTTCAGACTGTAGGAAGTGACACTCACACAACAAACAATCCAACAAACCAGGGGGTTGCTAGGTACTAAATTGAGATCCCATTCCAAAAAGATATAAATCTGCATAAAATTTGTCTTCCGTTAATTTAGGTGCACATTTAGAAATACTTACTAAACCTTATTTAAGTTTTACAGATGGCAAAGCCACCCAATTTGTTTAGCCTCTACCATCTCCTAAAAATTCTTCCATGCATTTATATCCTGTCCCAGATCATACCAAACCAAGTGTTCCTCTGCCATTCCTATCATTTTGCAATGATGGGGAAATTGCTAAAAATGTATAAGTGGCTGGTGAACTTTGTCACAAATTCTCCCACCCACCCCCCAGCTGAATATTACAATTTTTGCACCAAAAAGGAGTTTCAAAAAATGGATGAGTGCTAATCTTTACTTAATTTCCCATTTCCCACCCAAATCCGCAAATTGCGCATGTTGAGAATATTTCTTCTTTTTATCAGATTTGACAAAAAACGTTGCTTTAACATATCAGGAATGTAGAAGCTGTATCTTCTGCTGGTCTTTGGCTGTAATAAAGGGTTTGATTTGATTTAATTTGAAGCTGTATCAAACACAAACTCAGGGCCCCTGTTAAAAGACCATCTGCCCAGAAGGGCAACCACCTCTTTTTGATCTCTCTTTCTTGGGTGCCCAATTCTCCAGTTTACTTTTTCCCTCTTGAAGGATTGATTGGAAAGGAAAATTGCTTTCACCCACCCACAGCACTGAAGCCAGGAAAGGAAGCTTCAGTTAACACCAATAAACGTTTTTTTCCCCTCCAAGTGTCCTTTCCATGCTGAAGGGGATTTCCTGGGGCCACATTACATAGGGAGGAAGAACTGCGATCTGAATATGCCTCCCTCCACTAAATGACAATTAAGCTTTTAACAATCCTTACACTGGCGCCAATGGAAATAATTTTGTCTAAATTCAGTTGCTATACAGAGGGCATTGAAGGAGGCATTTTACAGTATCCAGGGAGAGTTGACTCGTTTCCCAGGTCTATGCGCCTTTGAAAATTGCCCTCTTGGAAATCTGCGTGCCAACTAATCTAAGAGGGAAAAAATCTTCCATAGGTACCAATGGACACTTATGATTCAGGGAAGAATCATCCAGGCCACAGGGAAATAGACTCGGGCTCAGAGGCCCATGGATCTTCGCCTAACAATGAACAAACTACCGAATCCCCTGTGCATTACAAAAAAACTAGCATGTCGGAGCCATGTGTAGCTTTCCACGTGGAACTATTTATTTATTTTTGAGGAAACGAGGTACAGTCATCTGAGTCCCCGCCTGCAAGGAACGCGGGACTAAAAATAGCTTACTCCGCAGCTCAGAGTCTTTAAAAAAATAAATAAATAAAATGGGAGTTTCGGGAGTGTCTGTCGCTGCCCGAATAACTACATTTCCCAAGATGCCCTACTGTCCGCTGTTGATGATGTATTGGAGAGGAGGCGCTGCAACAGCTACTTGCTGTGTTGTCAGCTCTCGAGAAGAGTGTGAACGGCGGGGGGTTTTCGAAGCAGAGAAAGTACCCCCACGCGCGCCCTTCCAGGCAATCCAGATCAAGGGCCAAAGAGGGCCGCCTGGTTCCTGACTGTATTGCAAGGTAAGTGAGGTCGGATCGAGCGGAGCGGACAGACTTTCGGATGAAAGCGAGCCGAAAGCACAGCTGGGGGCGGAGGGAGGGCTGTGTGTGTGTGTGTGTGTGTGTGTTTGCGTCGGGTAGTAAACATCGGGAAATGCAAGGCGGTAAGAAAGAAAGTTTAACATCTGGACTCAGGGGACGTGCCCGGCGGGGGGGATAAAGAGATGTGGCAAGGGAGCGTGCAAGGCTGCTCCGAAGAAGGGAGTCCTGGATGAATCTGAGCTGTTGTGCGAAAGGGGCGCGCGTCTTCTTCGTAAAAGGAACGGGTTACGTGTGAATGCTTGTATCGCAAAAGTGATGTCTTGCCTGGCGAAGCTGGTGGGTGGTTTAAAGTTTAGATGAGGAAGGAGGATGACGGCATCTCAGAAGCTGGGAGTAAAGTTTCTCTCATTTTCCCGGATCGTACCATTGGGCCTAGAGAGAGTAAAAAAATTCAGGGTTATAACCAAGGGGAAGCAAGGTTAGCTGTTGTTGGGTGCATTCAGACAGACACACACGCACTGCTCCTTTTCAGTGTGTCAGAGCTCATGACTAAATTTAGAGTCTGAGAATTGTGAGTCATTTTTTTTAAACTCCAGAATTGCACTTTGGGTCTATCTGACTTAATGATGGAGAGAAGGAATATAAGAGTTTGTTTGTTCATATATTGATATCCTGCCTGTTTCCTTCCAAGGAACTTTAGAAGGCTTACATAAGTCTCTTCCTCCTCTCAGTCATGTTCTCACAACAACAACCCTGTGAGGTAGGTTTGTCTGAGAGTCTGTGATCTGCCCAAAGTCACCCAGTGAACTCCATGGCTGAGTTGGGCAAAAAAGCATGAGGGATTAGGACAAGAAGGGGACAGAAATCACTCTAAATGCCTGAAAGGAAATACTGTTTCCGAGACTGTGGCTATGAGAATGAGAAGAACATGATCGCATTATGTGTGGGGTGGGCAGGGGGTGCCCTTGGGAGGGCTGCATATGGGAGGTGTTCCATATGCAGTAAGCTAGGATCCCTTTAAAAGACAGTTTTGATAGGAAAGGGGTGGGGGTGTTTTTGTTTTGTTTTGTTTGACAGGGGCATCATTATATATGTCCTTGTCCAAAATACCCAAAACAAAAACCTGCTTTTAAAGGGAACTCAGAGTATAATTTATAGGATAGCAATGAAGAGGTTAAGAGCAAAAGGCTTGGAAGGAAGTGAGGCAGGTTGTCCAAAACAAACTATGTTCTAGATAAATAGCAATGTGGAAAAAGAAACTAGAGACAGAGCTTGCAATTTATGTGCAACATCTTTAACCCTAAACCCTTGAGCAATAATGGAGGTGGGGGATTTAAAGAAACTGCAGGGGAGCCTCATTGCAAATTCATGACTGCTTATTTGGATGCAGACAGAGAAACAGAACAAAAGTTGGCTATACATGGCAGAAGTGTTATTTTGGGAACTATTTCTTGGAGTTTCATAAGCAAAAGATTGGTCACAGTCTTTCTTACCATGCCCTATTTGGATCACATCTCAGTTCAAACACTGCTGTATAGTTTTCAGACCACTGTGAAAAGGGAGATGGAGGGTGGGTTTGGGTATAGCAGCCCTCTCTCCTTCATTGGTTTCTTCTGCTAGACTGGATGTTTTCATGCAGTAAAATGAGGTGGTAGAGGATATATCATTTGAATGCTCCTCTGTGTAAAAACTAACAGAAGATTTCCATGCAAGGAGAAAATCAGGGACTAGATTGTCCTAGAACCTTTCCCCTTGAATTGCTACTTGTTTAATTGCAAGGAGGAGTATTTAATTCATGAAGACATATTATGGAAAAATTGCATCACCACCTTCACCCAAAGTGTGGCAGTTCATTGCACTGCCTCTAAGCCTGTTTGCATGGGCCTACCAGGATAAATAGATGGGGTGTTAGAAATGGAATTGGGCAGTACTGACACAATTAACTTGCCACCAGCTGAGCAAGGCAACGTTGTTGCTGCTGCTGTTTTGGCAGGTCATCTAACAAGTGGTGATGGAAGATTCCATTGCTTGATGAATCCTTTCATGTAATTTGATTCCACTTGACAACTGCAAAAACTAATACATGTTGTGAACAAATGTGGTTATATTCTATTCCCAGTTTCTGTCTGTTCCTTCCCACCCCCTCTTCCTACAAAACATAGAAACAGAGCGAGTCAGAAGGGGTCTCCTGGGCTATCTAGTCTGACCCCTGGCTCCAGCCGGCTCTGCAGATGACATGCCTCCCATCCTTCACATTTTGTAGTTCTTTAAATCCATGCTCATACAGGCTTACAAGTGTTTGGAAGAAGAAAGTGGGAAAGGGCTGATACTGGTCCTTCCCAACACTGTCTCCTCAGATGCAGTGTTGCACTGTTAATGCCCATCACTGCCGACAATTGCCCTTGCCAGCTGCAGTAGTAATTTTTGCAGCTGTAGTGCAGCAACCTTTGGGGGTCCAAGGTTGGAAAATGCTGATAGTGCTTTGCATTGCCTGCTCAGACTTGCAGGGATGCTCAACGCCTTTCCCAGGCAGCCCTGCTGCCTTGAGCTCCAGCCTTCATACATTCTTCCAGTGATGCTCAGCCCAGTCTCCCACTTGGTAGCACACTTGGGTTAAACAGAGCCTTTAAATGTGGTTTAGGGTGGTATGTACTGGCTCGCCGCCCTAACTAACTCTTTGCAAGTTAATATGCTGTGATAATATGGTCAATTTTGAATGAATAAACTTTCTTTAAAACACAATTATGCAGATAGTTTGTTTAAACTTGTGTCCCAACTTTCAATTAGCATGCTCGAGGCTAATTTAAATTCCACTAAAACAGTTATGCTGTGTCAGTACAACTACCTCACTCCTTAACTAAAGCTGTTGAACAAGCTTCTTCCCTCGGGTCATAGAAAATATGACTTAGAAATCAGGCGGGGGCGCTTCCTTAACATTGTTTGCTAAGCAAATAAAAGAAGAATAAATGTTAGATTCCACAGTTTCAGTTTCTGGCCAAGGTAAACCATCCAGTGTTCACTCTTGATAGCCTTGACTTTTGTTGCAGTTAGCTGGAAGGCAACTTGAGCAAATTAACTTGGTGAGTTTAGGAGCTCAGTGAAACCAAAATATGAGAACAGGAGCATAGGCAAACCCTTGAATCAGTTTTTTGCTCAGGGCTTTTTGCACTTAAAGAATAAGGATGGGGCATGTCTCTCTCCACCATGTTTCAGATTACATGTGGATTATGCATCAGTACCTCTATTTCTAGAGAACTCAGTTATTTAAAGCTCAATCTTGTGTAAGTCTAACCAGATAAATGGCCCACAACTCCCAGCATGCCCCAGTCTGCTGTGCTGTCTGGGGCATGCTGGGAATTGCGGGCCATTCCCCTGTCTCAATTTGCATAAGATTGCACCTTTTGGCTACAATCCTATAGCCAGTTACCTTCAATAAGACCCATTGAACCCAGTGTGACTTCTGACTAACCATGCACAGGATCAATTATGTAAATAGGCCTATATAATAGTTACATATTCTATATAACTTGCATCATTCATAACCATTTTCTTTTCCTGGCTGGAGTGATGAAAATCCTGATGCAACTCATCTGGAGGACACCAAGTTGGGGAAGGTGGAGGATTATAAACAAAGAAATATGCATGTATTGAAAAATGGCATGGATTCAACCTTGCCTGTCATCATTTTATGCTTCAGTACAAAGTTAATAAATCCCTTGAATCATCTGTCCTTGTAGTTGCCTGCTAATGTAACCCAAGACAGGAGCCCATTCATCAGACATGCTGCTCTAGTGCCAGCCATAGTGTTCGCGTGCTCTACATAGTGAGTTTCACCATGTCAGATGTTTTAACATTCACACTTTCTCATGCAAAGTAAGTTTTGTTCCCTCTGGCTTGTGCATCTATTCAAGACTTCATGTTTCTAGGAATGTTTAACATTATTGCCTCCTTATTCCTAGCAACATAGGCTTTAGAAAAATATGCTGTAGCTTTATATATTTTGCTTGCAACTTAAATATATCTAGAAGTGGGCTGTTGCCACAATCTGGCCCCCTCCCTGGCCACCTCCTGCAACCTCTCTGTCTCTGCCACAGCCATCCCAATGAAGTCTGAAATGGAACCTGTGCTCTAGCTTCTTTGATCATGGAGAAAAGGTTTTCTCAGGCCCAAACCACAGTGATGAGCAGCTTTACGTAACTTGCTTAACAAGGAAATGCAGTCACAGAGATTGTAGTCATTATTTTGTGTATCTATGTAGGTATTTATTAAAAGCCTTTCTAACCTGTCCCCCACTAATGTCTCGGAATGGCTTATAATAATTTTAAAAAACTAGTAAAAATTTTAAAAAATGAGTATTATCAGGCATGGCTGGTTGGAAGTGGCTGGTTGGGCCTGCTATACTTCCTCCTTGTGTAATGTAAAACAGGAGACGGTCCTTTTTGAGAGGAGAATGGGGAAAGGGTGTGGTTTTCATTCAAGACGGGAGTCTTCTCTAGTTGCTCTTCATTAACAACAAAGTGAGAATAACCATGTAGCTTGGTTTCCAGGGTAGTCTGACTTGTGTAGAAGGGAGCATGGTTTGGTTTTTGTAAAGCAGATTTTAAAATAAGAAATGCCAGACTGAAGAAAATTCTTTTTTTCCAAAGAAAGTTAACTAAATCAGATACTGTAGGGACAGTACAATAGCAATAACATCATGAATCTGTAGCTGAGGTGAAAAGTCCTTTTTGATCCTACATGTTGCAGACCATTATTTGAATCAATCATTCATGCTTCCAAAAAGAAATATTTTAAGGGGTAGACACAGTTTTCCATTTCTCAGCATCTTGCCCATCAAGGGAACAGGGGAAAGGCACAGAAGAAAAGGGGAAAACCAAGCCAGTAGTGAGTCTTGATGCTTCATATATTCTGACTTGCAAATATGGATTAAGTGTTTTCCTTTGTCCTATTTAATCTGATCAGCAAGTGACTTCAGTAGG